GTAATAGAATACACCCGGGTGGGGAATTTGAACGCAGACCTACGCTTGTATAGAAGGCCTCCTATCGCGGAAAAAGTCTCCCGAACTGGCAGCATTGATTTTATACCTCTTATTTACTCGCTTAACCTTTGTCACACTGAAGTTATATTACTAGCTTAAACACTGCCGCGAAAACGGTCGTGACACGGCAGTGTAATTCATTTTATAAATCGTCTTGTTTCTGCTATTTCGGTTCGCCGAATACAAGTCTCATACTTGAATCGTTGCTAAAAGTGCCGGAAGTAAATCTTGCGCGTTCGTTGTAATGAGATCTTGTCACATAAGTGTTTCTGTAATAAATTACCCTTATAGAAATATCATACTAAGAATCATTGATAATTACTTATTATCCAGTATTTTTAATACTGAAAATAAGTAATTATCAATGATTCTTAGTATGATATTTCTATAAGGGTACTTTAATTCGGTTCTTGTCACTGATATATTCAATTGCATTTCCGGAGTCTATTATTTAGGAAAGCGTGATCGAATGGAAACATGGTTTCCACCGCGATTACTCATTTTGATAGTAGAACAGTATCATACGTTTGAAATTTTTCTTTCGCATATCTGCATTCTCATTTGTCTGTTGCATGATAAATTTTCGAAGTTTATTATTTGAGAATGCGTGATCTGACGGAAATGTGGTTTCCACCGTGATGACTTATTTTGATAGGAGAACGATAATAGACGTTTGAAATTTTTCTCTTATCTACTTGGATTCTCACCTGTCTGTCACTCGACAAACTTTCAGGGCTTATTACTCGAGAATGCGTGAACTGACGGAAATACGGTTTCCACCATGATGACTTATTTTCATAGGAAAACGATGCTAGACGTTTGAAATTTTTCTCGCGCACACTTGGATTCACACCTATCTGCCATACAGCACAAATCTTCAAAAGAATTCTAAAGACGTTCTAAGAACATTTATACATCCTAAGAACATTCTAGAACATTCTCTGAAGATTTTGTGCTATCTGCGTCTGTTACTGGACAAACTTTCAGGACTTATTACTCGAGAATGTGTGATGTGACGAAAATGCGGTTTCTACTGTGATGATTTATTTTGATAGGAGAACGATGATAGACATTTGAAATTTTTCTCGCGCACACCTAGATTCATGCCTATCTGTCACTTGACAAACTTTCAGGATTTATTACTCGAGAATGCGTGATGTGACGAAAATGCGGCCTCCACCGTGATGATTTATTTTGATAGGAGAATGATGATAGACGTTTGAAAATTTTCTTGCGCATATCTAAATTTTCACCTGTCTGTCACTCGTCAAATTTTCGGGGTTTATTATTCGAGAATGCGTAATATAATGAAAATGTGGTTTCCATCGTGATGACTTAATTTGATAGGGGATGATAGACGTTTAACATTTTTCTCTTGTACATATGGATTTTTAAATTATTTTTTTCATATGTAGGGGTTGTTTTTACGAAATAACAGATAAATAAATAAACAAAACACCAAATAGGAAGACCGTATTGTTTATTTTTATCAGCGATACGGCGATTTACATTATTTGAATATATACGCGTAAAAGAAAAATAAAATTAAATCAAAATAATGAAAGCCCCGAGCGCGTGTGTTTTGCATCGAATTTCCGATTACAACATCACATATCAACAATTTTATTTAATCTCGGTTTATTTAACATACAAGAGCTATTTTTCAACATTGCGCGTCCAGTATGTATAGCTGTATAATGTACGTATATGTTAAGTTAAATCTAAGTTACACTGATATGATCACGTTACAGGGAATTTGTACAAAGAGCGCACAAGTACAACACTACTCGATTTGTTCGTAACTGCACTCAAAAACCGGTCGTAACGCTCGATTCATAAAACTGTAAGTCTCTTCCTCTATTCTCTATAATATTTCGATAATGTGTCCTCCTGTATAAATCACGAGAAAGTGTATACGAGTGTAGCGCGGATTTCATTTTCCTTTAATTATTCGCTGTTCTCAACAAAAAAGTCAAGAACCTCATTCTCATATGCATCGAAGTACACAGTAGTATTTAATGGTAGAAAGATTTAACAGTTCGAAATTTTGAGAGTATTCAATATTAAAAGGGAAGTAAAATGTTGCTCTGAATTTTTGTTAGGGAAAGGTTGACTTCAGATTTATGAACAAATGTACAATCAACGTCATATATACCACATCATTCCCTAGGAAGATAGTTACACGATTTACATATATACACATGAGGTTGAAAATCGTATGAGTAACTCCAATTATAACAATAAGATTGCAGTGGCTCTAATTGCTTCGACTTTATGCGTTGATGCGTAAGTCGTGTAACTCTCGATCCAGGCAGTGGAATGGCATATATGACGCCGACTGTGACAGCACACTGATCACTGAATAAATAGTTACACTTGCATGGGCCACTTCGTACGACTTTCTCGGGACACCTTATAGATTAGGCTCTGTCATCTCGAGGCGGATAATCGGGCATCTAGCGCGGGATATAAAATATGTTCCCATCGTACACTCCGTGTGATGTCTTAAGTTACAGATTTCCTATAAATACAACATATCTCAATTTCTCTTTTTCCTTTCACCAGCGTTGTACAAATTACATATGATAGTGTAATTTCGCTTGGAATTTAAACGGCAAATTTTGCGCCGGTCGAATTGATAGCCACGTCAAATGTGGCGTTTGCGTTGCCTCTTAATGCTTCGCCGCGAACGAGCGCGGATTCGCCTCGCTTTTTTGCACATGAGGTCAACAAAAAAGAAAAAGCGTTTAATCCGCTCCTTTTCGTCGCCGCGATTGATTAAATGGCGTCATTGGGCGCTCCTCCGACGGGTCGGCGCCGGATCGAAGTCGGAGGTAAATCGCAGATCCTGGGAAGGAAGAGGGGGATAGGGCAGGCGGACGTCGACGCGTTACAAAATTTTCTCGAGAGAGAGACACAGAGAGATCGCGGAAATTCGCAATTCCGCGAGGCGCAGACGAAACGTCCGAAATCCCGTTTATCACAAATTTTTATTGTTGTATGCACCGTTCACTGTGTGGTAGTTCGTGCTCGTCGCCGAGAACCGACTGTGTATGCATGCTAAATTATTATTATTACTATCTTTATCATTAAAACCGTTATTGTTACCTGCCGACGTTATTATTGTTACGAACATCCTGCGTTACGATACAACGAAAAGAATAATCCTTACAGGTAAATGTGTGTGTGTGTATGTGTATTGTGTGTGTGTACATACACATACACACGCAAACGCTACCCGGATCTGTCTCGATACACTACATATATATTGTCTCCGAAGTACATGCACACGTGCGAAATACAGCCTGCGGTTCATTAGACAATAACAATACGGTATGCACTTACGCACGTGCGACCACACGTGTAGTGTAACGTATAAGTAAGTTTAATATAGGCTACCACAATTACACACGAGAGATATGTAAAGACAAGAGTGTCACATTGAAAAAATATATGTATGTGTTTCAATTACGACTGAGGGGGACACAGGAAAAGGGAGGGGGGAAGGCAAGAGGAAAGGAGAGAAGAAGAGCCGAGCTACGTGCGTATGTGTGTACAAGCACATGGATATGTATGGTTCGTTTCGTGGCGGTGGCGTCGTCATTCCGTGCTCGAAGACGGTCGTTCGCGCGGATCTCAGCGACACTACGTTGCTCCCATTCGATCGTATACGATCTCTCTCTTCCTTCGTCCATATTTTCCGTCCAACCCCTTCGATTTTTGATTCCGCACGACCTCCTTGCCGTCCTCGCGCGTCTTCGTCCCGCGCGCTGTCACATTATCTTATCTCGGCCAACATATCGTAGCTGAGCGCACACACCGCTCGTTACCGCGGTATATGAAATATATATGTGCGAGCAAGGTGCGTCTATTCAAGCGTGCGCGATGTTAGTTCAGAGTACGTCCGAAAATAATTCGGGTCCACCACCCGAGAATTTCACCAAGCCGCCGGAGAGAGCGAACTTCCGGGCGCGTATGTACAAGCAGCCGAGAAGTTATGGAACGTGTGGGTATGGGTATACATACGTATGGATATACGCAAAACGCCTGCTTATCATCCGCTTGTGATCCGCGCGCACCGTTATTTCCGCTCGCGCATCGCCGAGCGCGCAAATCTTCAAAGTCGATCGTGCCGCGCGACGGAGTTTCGAAGAGGAGGCTTTTTTTCGTTTTTCTTCTTTATTATTTTTCACGTCGTCTCGATCGCCTTAATCTAAACTTTTACGGTGTATATGTACATACGTGTCTGTCCTCTGTGTGTGTCTCTTTCTTCCTTCGCGGCGCGAGCCGCGACCGGGCTCCGCGTCACCGACAGACGACGAAACGACAGCCGTTGGCATTCCCGTTTCGCGATTACACAGCGCAAACCAAAAAATTCCTCAGACATATAAATATTACACACAAGAGTGCTCCACGAGAGTGCGAGAGTACGAGAGAGATAGAGAGGGTTCTTGCGTTAATAATAAAAGATATAGAACATAGGAACAGTCTAATAACACAGCTGTTAAACGGCTAAGCCTAAGTGACTAAGTCTACAAACTCGTTCTCTCACGTATCATATCGCGGCAGGTCGGTTTAGAATTCGGACAAATCCGTCGTTGAATGCCGGAGAATGTAAGCTCTGCGCCTCATTAATACCGATGAGAAGGCAAAAGCGAGAGAGGAACGCACCGAGGCATTATGCCATCGGCAGATACGTGAAACGACGTGCCGCGGTGAACGAATCTAACGTAATAACATCGTTGGAATAGAGGGGAATATATAAATAATGAATAAAAAGTATCTCTCACGTTCTTTCAAGGAGAGGACACGATCGTCGATTACGCGTCAAATCGCATAAACTTCGGCAAAAAAAAGGAAACGAAAGAGAATAAAAACCAGGATAAAGAAAACAGAATGTTCTTCACCTCGTGTATAAACGCTCATTAATCACAACGCGAGATAATATGATGATGGTCCAGAGATCAAGGGTGCTAATACTACGGTTGAGACTATTGTCTCCGTTATTTTAATCTTCCATTTAATTTAGAGACCTACGATGGGGTTGGTTAACATTAATAACATTTACCTATATTATATTAACTGTAAGATATTACGCTATGTTTAATTATATAATTTACAGGTTACACGATTAAGTTAAGGTATACGAGAGACGGGGGCGAGAGGAGAGGAGGAAGGAAGTCTCGGCAAAATGCGCTGTGAATTTGGTGCGAATTGGCGGTTTTCTCTCGTTTCTCTTTCTTTCACTTTTTTTTTCTCTCTCTCTCTCTCTCTCTCTCTCATTCTCTGTTGACACCGAAGTTCGCAACACTGGGTGCTTTCCAGCAACGGAACACAGTCATACACTGTGTGAGATTGTGTTATACAGTGTCGACTTGTTTAGCTGGAATGCTATTTTATTTTATCTTTTTTATTTTATCGCCAGAGTGCAGACAGTCACTTTATACAGCTTGTTATTATTTTTCTGGTGTGTATGCACGGTGAATATAGTATACATATATCAATTTGCAATAATAAATAAAATTGCCGGAAGATATTTTCGCTGTAAAAGTTAATATTTTTTAAGAAAAATTTCTTATTAATTAATTTATTTATCAGATATATAAAAAACTAATAAAAAACTGATCATATTATATATAAATTAAGTTGTTACGAAAAAATAATAAAATATATTTTCTGTAATACTGTTTCGAATATAAATTATATCTCCTATCGGAATACCGCTCCATAGAAAAATAAATGATACCAAATGTAAAAATGTTGATATCAATGGAGTAACACAATACGACGACGCAGCATCTTAGCTATGTCGACACTTGTGTTGCAATTGGAAAACATAATGTGTTATACAGTGTCGCCTGTATACATTGTTGGAAAGCACTCACTCTCACTCTCTGCCGCTCTTACGGATTAATACTGAATTTACGCGAAGTATTTTCAGCCGTGCCTAGAGAGAGAGAGAGAGAGAGGGAGAGAGAGAGAGAGAGAATGAAAGAGGGAGAGAAAGAAAGAGAGAGAGAGGGAGAGAGAGAGAGAGAGAGGTTCCCTCTCTCTCACATGACGCGTGTCGTGATGCGACGTTCGCTTTGTCCTTGAACTAGCGAGTACGTTGACGGCGTTTTTACGCGCGCGCGTGTCGGGACCCGCCGACAACGTTCGCGAAGTTCGCCGGGCGAACTGTAAATCAATCATCCTGCTGTTATTAACTCTTAAACGTCTGCTCACCGTTCGCCACGTGGATGCGAATAATTTGGTACATTCGTATACAAACACCGGGCATTTAATATCGTTTTTGTGATTTTTGTTAATTTTTATCGCTCGTTCGCGCGAGCACTTCTCAGTTTGGATTCTTCTGCGATTCCTCGTACGATCGACATCCCGCTCCTGAGCGGAACAAATTGCGAAAAGATTCGCCGTTCAAGAGTTAACGTCGTAGTCGCGCGTGATACGTCGCGTGAAAGTTTCCGATCGCCAGCTGTTCGACGATCGCGTATAAAATAGTCTGGCTAACGCTCATTCGCCGCTTGTCTGTTGATGATCGGCGAATATCGTCGCGATAATCGCCTGTTCTCTCTTTCTCCCTCTCTCTCTCTCTCTCTCTCTCTCTCTCTCTCTCTCTCTCTCTCTCTCTCTCTCTCTCTCTCTCTCT